GCAGTGAAAGCAGGACAGACTCTCCTCCATTGCAGGGTGAGCTGTGCCAGTGTCACATGAGCTGTTCTCCACACTGCCTTTCACTGTGACAGACACAGCTCTGCCCCTGCTGCTTTTGGAAACCATGGCTGTGTCCCAGGCAGTAATTTTCAAAATGAAAAAATGTTGACAGCTATGCATCATTTTAAAACGAGTTAAATCATCTAGGAAAAGCCTGACATTTAAATGATGAAAGAGAACATATCTATCCCTTTCTGGTTCCTCTGAAAATGAACTTTTTAAATGGAATTGTACAGGAACTTTCATTCTATGATATATGTACTTATCACCAAGAGATACTTTTTCAGCTATGACATAATTGCTATCATCAGAAAAACATTGCTGTCATTCTGCTATAATTTAGTGTCATTTTATGCTCATTTCTTTATCTTCCCTCATTAAGGCATTACATGTTACTATTAATCATTCCCTAACATAAGCGACTGCATAACAAAGCTGTGTAATTGATTTTTCAGTTTCAGAGCTTAACCAAAAATTTAAAAATATATTTAAGAAAGCTTATTCTTTTTCTCTCGTTCAAGTGAAAAAGTGTTTCATGTGGATTTCAGTGAAACATTTGTTTGTTTCAGATCAGTCATTTCATTTCCATTTTTGTCATTTTAAGAAAAGCAGGGGATAGAAAGGACTGTATCTTGGCCCAATTCACCAAACCAACCATAGTTTTTTGTTTTTTCAGAAAATCAAATGATCTGCCTGGACCAGTGAATTCCTCTGCCTGGGAAATTTGAATACTCAGGCCCTGACCTACAAGAAGATTCTCATCTCTTTGGTGAAAAGAACCCAAAATTATATAAGTGACTTGTAAAACTATAACTATTTTTCCCAGGAAAAATGGGAACAGACACCCCAAGGAACCAGTGATGTGGCCAGGAAGGCCTCCTTTGAGAGGTGGATTCAGGTCCCAACAAGTTGACAGAAGGATTAAAAGTCTATCATGGTCCAGGTGAGTGGCATAATCACAGGGTTATTTGATATGGTTTTTTGACTAGCTGGTCTTGTGAATTAGGTCACCAGATTTTCTTTGTTGACATTAATAATAGTCTTACACCCAAAATGGTATGTCTTAATGAGTTTTTAAAAAGTTAGTTGAAATACTAACTATGGTAACACAATATTTTAGTCAGGCACCTACTCAAGTACCTTACAAATATGTGGTGAATTACACATTTTGCATTTCTCTGCCCTCACATTTGCACAGGCCCTGGCAAATTTCACAGGAACGCTTCGTCTGGATATTTGCACCCCCTGGATTTTTTTATTTCTGCCTTAAGATTTCTTCACATACAAGCCTTAAAAAGAAATGAAAACTGAAATGATGCAAATATAAAACTCAGTATTTCTAATCTCCACTGCTGCTGGAGATGCTGCAGGAATGAGAAGAGATGCACGACTTAGCACCCTTCTGGGGAAAGAAGATGGAGAAAGCATTACATCTGTTTAGGGTTAGGAAAGCTTCCATACAGGCTCACTGATTCAGAATAACCCCCCTAGTCAGATGATGTCTTGAGGTTCTTGATACAACTTATGGAGGTTATCAGACCATACAGAACAGGTCTTGGATATTAGTAGGGCATTAGGGCAGTAGGTCACATACTTCACTAATTAGACTGTGCATCTCTGCACAGGTAAACTTGCATTTAAACATGAAGCAAATATCCAACATGTTCAACTTCGAGACCCCATTATATATTTATACTTGTAAATAAGTGGTATCTATTTAAATTTTTTAGAAATTCACTGAAACCTGGCATTTCAACTGAAACCTGTTTCTAATCTCTCCGAATGAGGAAGCAATTTTCCCTACATGACCCTGATTCAATTCTTGTTTTCTTTGCCTAAAAAATGACAACTTAAAAAGATGGCCTCAGTAGAGCTGCGAACTGATATTTATTTCAGTAGTATAATAACTCTGAAACATGCCAAAGGCCTCCTAAATGTTCAAATTGTTACCTATTGCACCCTGGACAGAGTTTGAGTTCGTGAGTGGATTTTGAATGAAGTAATTTTTTCCCCCTGTCTGACCCTGGGAGCATTTGAATTGATGATTTTAGCAAGCAAACTTGCTAGGAATAATGAAGTACATATAGTTTTGTATAATAATTCTCTCTCAAGGGCTGTGAAGCTGATGCCTACTTAGAAAAAATTTTGGAAAAGTAGCTGAAACAACACATGATGCCATTTTATATAATCCCAGAAGTGACTGAAAGACTGGACAGTTTTGAGGACTATCCAAGTGTAAAGAGATGGATTTGGATTAGTCCCAGCTCACATTGTGTAAGACTTGCAATACTTTCATATTGTTTCTCCACAGTCAGATGTAACTGTTTGTTCTCTCGTTTTCAAATTACCTTTGGAACCATTTTGTTGGAAGCTGGGACCAGATTCATTAGTTAAAACATAAACTTTTAGTCATCTCTGCCTTGCAGTCAGCTAGAGCTGTAAAACAGGACCTGCAAAATGGACTGCCTTCAGATCTACTTAACTGTGCAGAGATTGTATTTGTATTTTCCAGGTTTTAATTAATTTCTTTTAATAGACTACCCCAGAATTTCTTATCTGTGACCCTGTGAATATATTATATTGACAGAAAATAACCAGCTTTTTCAAACCATACTGATAGCATGCCAGCCTGAAAAGAACAAAAATGCAATGCTGCTCTTGTCTTCTACATTATAATAGTCAAAGTTTAGAGATGCACTTACTGAAAAGTAGACAGAGTGACTCAGTGCTCTAGTAAGGCCAATAAAGTGCAGTAAAATGAGTAACTGATGTAGGCAATGGTGAAGTCCCTTTGGGATGGCTTTTCCTTTTTTTTGGTCACAATTTGGAAACCAGGACATAGAAACAATCTCCATAGGAGAAAAAAAAAAAAAAATCCAGAGTACAAATATGGCTAAAAACTCTTGGGGGGGGGTGCGAAGAAGATAGCAAAAATATTTCTGTAAAGTCACCTAATTTCCAGACTTTAGAGGAATCACCAACAGATTACAGTTACAGGCCAAAATCTTTGTTACAGGTTTGGATCTTATACCTCACCCCAATTCTTCTGTATGGGCCTATTCTTACCACAGAATCTGGCTTTATGGTGATAAATCACAGAAATGTATTAGTCCTGAACACTTCATTCTCTTGGCTTGATTGTTCTCTAAACAAGTAATTGACTGATGGATACTCTGGATACTCTGCCCTGCTGTCTTCCCGCCAGCTCCTTTATTTTACAGTCTTCATAAAAATTGAGGGAAAACACAAACTGGAAAGGCAACACACACAAAATCCCCAATCTATATCACACTCCAGCCTTTACACTTGCTTGGATCCATGAAATACAGGGAAGCAGAAAGGCAAACACTTCCCAATGAAAGGCTTGGTGCTGCCGTCTCGTGGGAAAAGGGAGAAGGGAAGCCTTGGTACTAAAAGCAGAAATGCAAAAAGGGGAGAAAAGGGAGTTTGTAAACTTGTTAACATCAACACTCCCATTTTTGTTTCAAGAGGGCTGTGTGCTTTATTGCTCACAGATCAGTTTCCTTTGCAGGTGATGTGGGCCCAGAATTACATCACCAGCAGAGCAGCCAAGAGCATCTCGGTGCCAGCATGACTGAAGTCCAGAGGAATGTATTATCACAGACCTCTGAGGGCCTTGCCAGTGCATTCCTTGCTGGGGGTGCTGCAGTGGGGAAGGCAAAGAGGAGACAATTTTACGTGAAGACTGAAAGGGAACTTTGTGGAGGAAAGAGCTGGGGTCACAGTCTTGCTGTCTCCTCTAGGCAGATCTAATTATGGCCATGTACTTCAAAAAGAGGGTTTAACTAAAACCAGATTTAGCAGGGCAATGCTTAGGAAGTACAGACTGAATCCTCAGCCTTGCCTTTGAGGAAAATGTGACATGCTTCAGTGCACTGAGAACACTCACAGTGCTTGTAAAGAATAATTTGAAGCACTGAGGAAAGCAAGAACCAATATTAAATCCTCATCACTTCAGTGAATACAATAAAGTATTCAGCCTTACAATAAAATATATCTATCCTTTAGCACAGACAACACTGAGATACTGGGTGTACATTTCCTGATCACCATGTGGTGGGGTGACAGAGTCTCAGCAGGCTCAGGCATCGTGCTGGAAATGATCAAATGACTCACAAAGCAGTCACACGGATGGATCCCCCATAACAGAGCTCCAACAGAGCCTTTCTGCCACATCACACCCTCTGTTTGGCAACCCACTTCTCATCCATATAAAAGAAATTCCCTGCTCTTCCTTTTTGCAGGCTTTCAGACTATTTCTTCTATCCATCCTGGATGGCAGGACTGGCTCAGTGGTCTTTACCTCAAGCCTCTTTCTGAACCTTTAAAATCAATGGGAGCTTTCCAGTGCTTTTAATATGAGCAAAATGTGCTGTCAGCTGACAGGGTTGAAAGGAGGGCACTAGAAAAAATTTTTGGACATTAGCACCTCTAAAAATGTCAGCATTTTAAACCTCATCTCCTAGGTCAATCAAAACATCAAAGAAATGCTGAGATTGCAAAGATCTCTACCCTTTTCAACCAGAAAAAAAAGCCCTGCTGATCAAATGAAAAAGTTTATATTTGATAAACTAAAGATTTCCCCCCAACCCTGCCCCCAGTTCCCTAAAAGGGAAGGCAGGAGGGCTGGGACTAGGCAGCACAGAGAACAGCCAAGTACCATTTCATGTTAAGCCTGCTTTATACAAGAATTTTTGGGGTCATGAAGTACTAATAGCTGGTTTAGCTGTGCCCAGCTCAGCCCAAAGTCATGCCACCAGCTCCCTCCCCAAAGCACAGCTGAAGTTCAGGAGCGTGCCTGTGCTGGGAAGAGTAATTTTATCCCTGGGGCTGCTGATGCCTGCTCTGCTGCTCTCCAAGTGCCCACTGCAAGCCACAGCACCAATGCAGTTCTGACCAGACCCTTCATTCTCCACCTCTCAGACCAGAGACTCCTTACACCACCATCTTTCATCCAAGTCTTTGAGGGGGCCTGGGGGCCTCAGCTCTTCTCCATATTCCTCAGCCTCCTCAGGAGGCTCCAGGAAGATGTCTGTTCTGCATTCCCCAGAGTCAGAGATACCCAAGCACAACTTGATGTTAGAGAAACAGCAGCTGAGGTGGGCAAGCGTTGAAGAGGGAAATTTGATAGCACAGAAAAATAGAAAATACCCTCCATAACTTTCAAACATCATTAGATACTATTATAGCATACTATATGGAAGTTTGCAAAACACTTCAGCCACCATGCCTGTAGAAGCGCCCTCCACTAAAATTACCAGATTTCTTTCTTCTCCACCTGGCAAATGGTCATCACTACTCTTTTCCTGTAACATGCAAACCTTTTCCACAATCTTTCTTCAGGTCAGTTGCACCTGGTCTTGCAGAGCCAACAGCAAAAGTGAGGCCCTTCAGCCTTCTCCATTTACCCCCACATCCCCAGCTGTCTACATTTTGAATATCCCAGTGCACAATTTTGTCTTTTTCATATTTTTCACGCATCATTATTTTTGAGAAATCATGTTTTGCTGTTACTTCCTTCCTGTATGAGGCTGGCCTAATAATTAGTCACTCATAGGAACTGTTTGCTTTCATAGTATGTTGTTGTAGATGGATTAGAGATAATGTATGAAAGCACATGTAAAAAATGTTCCAAAGTAAATACATTAAGAGAGTGTTAGACATATGTTAGAACTGAGGCATATCTCTTTCTTAAAGAATACCCTTTTTGCTTTGTTCAAACTTTTTCACAAGACAGCAAAAGCAGATGTAGCCTGTGAAAGTTGATGTAGACAACAATGGTTAGGGAAGATTGATAAAATGCTGTGAGGAAAGAAACTGCTGAAATTACTTAGAGCCAGTGTAGAAATTATTACTTCTCTCATTGTAGCAGACTGCTGTGAGATGGCCATCCTGCAGCACTGTTCTTCCTCTGGCTCACCCTGTCTCATTAACATTATAACTGCGAGTGCAGCAGAGTGGCTGACGGGCAAAGTTCAACTCTGTGTCCCTTTTCATTTTCATGGAGACTACAAGTCTGTTCAGCTCTTAATAAAATAACCCTCAAAGTACCACAGTAAAATGAATTATATGTATAGTGGTACTTATAAAACAAGAATGCCTATGCAGGGCCTTAAACATGCCTTTGGGCAGGTCAGTTCTCTGTCCCAATACGTAGACTGAGTATGAGATTTTTATATGCTTTAATCTGTTGCAACTTAATTTTGCCTCTTCAAACTTTCTTTTTGACAAAATCTATTGCCACTTTGGGGCTTTCTTAAGAAGTCATCCTATCACCCTCTCTTTGTGAGTATAGCCTCAAACAATACTACTTCTAGTTTTTAATATCTACAAAGATGTGGGTGCAGCCTCAGTTTCATGTGCACTGAGAAAACAAAGGTAAGAAATTGAGATTGTTTAAGACTTTATGCTTAACAAGTAAGCCCATCCTGATTTTGCTGATCTGCTCTGCAAGTGATCTGAGAGGAGGAACCTGAAGAGGGAGGTACATGCATCTTGGTTTTCTATGTTTAGCTGCATTTCATGTTCTCTCTGCTTGGCCACTACTATCTTGAAACAAATTAGTGTCATAGACAAACAAAGTGGATTAAATAGCAAACATCAGATTTCTTGTGTTACTCAACATAAATCAAAAGGGCTTCAGCACTGCAATTATTCCCCTGCAGCCACCAGTACAGAGGCACTGGTGAATAAAGCCAGTGGATTTAGTTGCTCTTAAAGATCTGCTTCCAAGAGAAATTAAAATTCAAATTTTCCTTGTCTTATTGCCGTTTTTCCAAAAATTGTAGAATGTAGAAAACTTGAAGTTTGAGAGAGCAGGAAGGGTAAGAGAAATGCCCACAGATGTGGGACATGATATCTTAGTGGCAAGACAAAAAGCTCTTTAATCACTTCATTAAAGGAAGTCAATTCAACCAGGTCATAATTGTAGACTATTTAGTAGCTTTCACACATTGTGAGGGAATAATAAGAAGGCAACAATTGTCAAATTAATGTGAATATTAAAATGTAAGGACAAATGTAAATGGTATTTTAATACCACTTTTGTGTCCACACATTGTATGTGTCCACACATACATGGATATTCAGTATAGAGACAAAATGTCTTTGAGAATCAGATGTGAAGTTGCTCCTTACTTGAAAATACAACATCTTTTATTTCTTAAAACATATTTATTTTTTACATTTTTCCTTTTCTACTGTGAGAATCAATTTGCTAAGATGCAAAAGCATTTTTGTTCTTTAAAGTTTGCCAATCAACCCAGGAAAGTAAAGACAGAACAAAACCAAAACCTATTAAAGCAGGAAATACGGTCACTGTAGCTCATGTGCCACCTACTCAAAGTTGGCACTGAACTGAGTTCAGGAAATACACTAAAAAGTTTTGCTCCTAGCTTTTTGCAAATGTCTGCCACAAGCCTGTGGTTTCCTCAAAAGCATTTCTTCTTTGAACTTGGCTTAAGTATTTTTCTTAGAGCCTTTAAAAAAAAAAAAAAAAGCAAAACACAAAAAGAAACACAACATGGATTGATTTCAAGCAGTTTGGTATAAGCAAAAAAATTTCATATTGAAAAACAGGCTGTTACTGAGTGCTCAGTCTTCAGCTAAGGTAGGTGATATCTTTCTTTTCTTAGAGACACAGAGAACAAATTACTCATCCAACAAGCAGGATAAACACGCAAAAAAAAGAATTGTGGGGTGTATGGGACTGTGAGATAAACACTGCAGATAGTCCATCACAGGCTGGGCACATTTTGTAATGCACAATAATATTTTCTTCCAGATAACTTGCCTGAGGCATGCGTCTTCAGAATACGAAAAAGAATGCAAATGGTTTGTGACTTTGCAAGCCTAAACGCAAAGGGCAGGGCAGAGTCCCACCACTTGTGTGCCAGTCTCCTAATGTGCGTTGTGGTTTTCTTTACCCTGCCCTCCTGCTGTGACAACAGTGCTCTGTCCTTCACAAACTCAGCACTTAGCTAAGCAAGCCAGTCCCAAACTTAGCCAACACAAATAACATCTGATCAAAAGCTACCTGGAGGTGAACCCAAAATGGCCATGACTAAATCAAATTTGTTTCTTAAGTCAAGCTCACACTACAGGAACATTCAGTGGTATTCTTCCAGCTCCAGACTTGCACAGTAACATGTATACAAATGACAGGAGTGGACCAACACTTACAGATGTTTTACGCAAAAGTTTAGTGTCATTTAAACACAGAAAATTCCTGGCTGTGTCACTGCTGAAGGGACAAGCACTGGTACACTGGGGTCGGTCTTTTACTCACCTCTCCCGCTCCTGTTCCAAGAGGTTGGTAAAGTCATCACTCTTGTTCATGTAATCCGTGTGTTTATGTTTCTCATTCTCTAGCTCGTAGACGGTGCGACGATGGCACTTCTCTGCCAGCAGGAGCTGCTCCAGCATGCGCCGGTACGTCTCCTTCTGCTTTTCTTCAAGTCTGTCCAGCTGGATTGTAGGAAAGGAGAACAGACTGTTTTAAAGGTCTCCTTGCTTACTTCATCTGATTTATTGACCAACAATGTTGTGTTTGGTAAATGCAAGTCCTGTAATTATATGTCTTGGGTTTTACATAAAGCAGTGACTAGAAATAAGAATAACTGCCCTGTGAAAGTAATGATTTATTTGGATGACATATTAGCAATAAACATTTGCACAGTTTTCAGATGCAGAAAGGACAGAATTTCACTTAGCTTTAGGGTAACAAATAATATTGTTGCAGTGCTGTATTTCTCCTGTGGTGAGGTGCTGTGCACGCTTTCTTCATTTCACTGGGAAAAAGCTGTAACTCAGAACTCAGAGCCTGGGAGCCTGATTCACACACCTGTATGGGGACTGGACACTTGCATGAAGAGCATAAAGTGTAATTTGAAGGCTGAAACTTGAGTTACACATCTTTAACACACCTGTAACTCTGCTGAGATAAAAGACCCAAATTATTTAGATTCTGCTCAGATTCAGTTTTACATTACCAAATACAATTAAATATAAGCCTTAGGAATTTCCCCTCAGCCTGTTTTTTGACAGAAATTCTCTTTATTTATTCACAACCTTTTACCCTTTTTGTCCTCTGCATTTTTTATTAATTTAATATGCCAACTATTATTCAAACAAACAAGGAAAAAAAAAACAGGAAGGTGTGTCTAAAAACTTGCCAGAGCACTCCAAATCCACCATGGCTATTCATGTTGCTCCTTTTGCTATTTCTTGGATGCAGATGACCAACTCCAGCCTCCTCCCTGCCAAAGCAGCCCTCGGCCTTGGTGCTTGTCTGGTTGCTCTGCCCACTCCCAACCCTTGCCCAACATCTTCCTCAGCCCCAGCTGCCCTGGGCTGGTGTTGTTTCACATCATATCTCAGTAAGCTGAGGGAAATAAGAGAGCAGGAGGACCATGGCAGTTTGCTCTCCAGAAGCTGAACATAGCAGTCAAAGTGAAAAAATCATTGCATTTTATAAAAGAGCCAGGTTGGATTCAGCTTTTCAGAGTAGATTTTTGCACTTAGTTTTTCTACTTTATTTCAACGTAAGCCTTGTGAATCTGTACATGATGAAAGTTTTACATTGAGGTCCCTGTCAAATTTTCAGCTTCTTTGGAAAAAAGCCTTGCTAAACTCTTTTAATCTTGTTTGAAAGGATTTTATGTATGCTCCCAGATACTATGGTTTGATTTCCTTATTTACTAACATCCCAAAAAATCCAAGAGATGCTTCAATGAGAATACACAGTACAGAAATATCCCATGGTAGACACAACTCCTGGTGAACAAATTAAATGTTCTAATTGGATGAACTATGTTGTTGCATGCTCCTTCCCCATGACCTGGACTGTTATGAAACTATGAACAGGAGCAATGGCTGTTTATTTTGGCATTCACTCTGGCCTCAGACATTCTCAGGTCTACTCTAATTCTCAGGTCTACTTGACATTCATTTATTGCTTAAATTTTAAAGCAAGGAGTCATATAAGTCTCCTTTAGGGGCTGAACTGACTTTGCAGTCCTAGAGTTTAAGTGATGTAAAATGAATATGGATTTATGATCCCATAAATATGGTCAAAGTCAATCTCCAAAGGTCTTCTTTTCTTAACTACCCTCATGATAGTGTTCTAGTATGCAAAGAAAATCAAGGAGTAGTTACCAGTGCTGTGAGCAGTAGAGGTTGAAGCCTATAATTGAAAGGAATTAAAAAACTAGAAATTTAGCACCCAAAGATTTTGGTCTTGCTTATCAGCACCAGCTCTTGGAAGCACACAACCTCTTTGTGGTTTGTGTTCAAATCCAGTGACTTTGCTTACAAATTATTCTGCATATGAGTGAACAAGATTTTATTTTCAGCGTACAAATTCTGTGTTATCCTCTTGCATGCTTTGCATACATCCAAAATATATGGAGTCTCACTTCTGGTTAGGCTTCCCCCTGCACATACATAACGTTGTCAAGCAAGAAGTTGTTACCTCTGAAATTGGTTTCTCGTAGACGTCTTCCCCTACGGACTTTTCTTGGGCAAGGATGGCATCCCTGTGCAGCACTCGAAGCACGTTCTCTGGAGTTGCAGACCCATAATGAGCTTCTAAAACTTCAGGTTTGGTTTTCTCTGTCTTCAGCATGTGGATCACATCCTCCCTTGCCTGTAATATTGCAAATCACTGTCATGAGTCAACCTCTTAACCAAGAGGGAACATGGGGAAAAGAGGGGCATTTCATATGTACAGACTGCATACACAAAAATAAAATAATTAGAAAAATGACAGTCTGTCAATGCAAATATAAAAATGTTGGGAGATCTCAGATTAAACATGATCAGTCCAATACAAATATTGTACTTTAAGGGATGAATTATTCTGTTCCTGCATGACATTACATTTGAATGCTATGAATTTTTATCTGAGTTGCAACTATAGCCAGAGAACATCATTATTCTTCATACAGTGAATCTTAGTTGTTGCCTATGGTGTTCCCTGAAGGGATAAGAAAATGAGAAGAACAAGCAGCACAAGTGAGCTGAACTAATATTTCTCTGACAGTTACTTCCTAGTCACTCCCTAACTGAATTTGTGACTAAATACTCTTTTCAAGTAACCTTTAAAATAATTTTTCATTTTTTTCTTTTTTTTTTCAACAAAACCCTAGACCTTGCAGACCCCAGCTAATGAGACGTGGGAAGTCTGAGCAAATCCTCCCAGCCGTGGAGGATGGCTGTGCTGCTGGAGCAGGGGCTGGGAGCAGGGGTGCACCTGTGGCCAAGGGCAGCCTGGAGCTCCCTGCCCCGGTGGAAGCTCCCAGCATGAGCAAACATCTGGGCATGACCAGACAGCTCTGCAGGGCCACCTGGCTATGAACAACGAGCACTTTAGGGCTGTGCTGTGGACAAACACTTAAGCCAGGGCTCTGCTTTTAATGATACTTGCCAACACCTGTTAAGCCATCTGTAAAATGGGGGCAGGGCACCTGCTTGTCTTTCAAGGCATGTTTATGATGTTTATGAGGCCATAGTCCAGGGAGGGACTGTAAAACCTACAGGTTTTTGGTGGGCAAAGGGGAGCTCCTGGATTTCCCTAGAGAACATCTTTCCCACAAGTGCAAATGGATGGGGGAGTAGAAGAGTATGGGCATTTTTCTCTTGCCTGCCTTTCTGACAACCCATGTGAGCTTGGGAAGTAAATTAAGCACTAAGGAAAGGTTCAGACATTTTAGGAAAAAATTCTTTACAAATCCTGCCCCTATGTAAGCAATAACTATTTTAAAATTTATGAACTGACCAACTCTTCATGCTTTTCCATGCTGTTCATAACAGCATTCAATTCATCCCTGTAGCAAATCTTAAATCTTTACCCAGAACCACAGAGGCACCACAGCTCAACAAAATTACTTGATTTTAAAATGAGCAAGAAAATAATTTTGGGAAATGGCAAAGATCCTTTAATTTATTTTTTTTATTTAAAACAGTCTGTCATGAAAATAAGTAATGAACTTCAGGCAAAGATCATGCCATCTAATTAAGAACTAGCCCAATATATGTAACATTATGCATAACGTTTTGTAACCTGAAGTAAAATACTTGTCTGCAAGATACAAAATGCAAATTGGAATGGTATTAATCTTATTCCAAAATGAGAGCAGGAAAACATCCATCACTCATGGATGTTACAACTAAGTGAATTATGTGAGCTAGTCCCAAAGAAAGGCAGAAGAGCATGTACACCTCACTACATCACATCCTAAGACTGTGCCATTCTCAATACAGGAAAAGTGTTATTTTAGGCAGGTTCTTGACAGGTTTGTGAATGTATTACTTTTCTCTCTCCCTGTAGAAATAACAGATGTCTTAGTGTCTTCATCACCATGAGGAGGCCAATGCTTCTATATCGAAGAAAAAGCCTTTAAAAAGTCCAGTAGGATAGCATGGGAGTATGGAGGGATTCCTAAATGTCCAGATTTTATGATGTGTTGTCTTAAGCCCTTTTAGGAAGAGGCAGTTCTGAGGCCATGAGGTTCACCCTGTCCCAATGAACTAATTTGGCATCCTGCTGTGTGCTTCCAGCAGGGACCCTGTGCCACAGGCATGCTCAGGGAGAGCACTGTGCAAAGGGAGCACCCACACAGAGGGATGGGGATGGGGGAGCAACTCCCTTCTGCCCTCTGCACCGAGGGACACAACCAATCATGTTGAAACATCGTTTTGTTTTGATTCTGAGCACACAAAGCTTCATGCCCCACACAGCCCTTTCCTCAGGGACAGGCACACCTCAGACCCTGTTTGGGAGGGGAGGAGGATGAGTTCATTCTCTCACGTTGGAGCTGTTGGGCCCTGGATGGCATAATTAAACACTGGCAGGGCTGGGCAGAGCAGACAGAGATAGCTCAGGATTGAGGATTTAACACTGTGAATAAGCAGAGCAAAAAGCTGGACTCCATTCCCTGCAGTGGTTATTTGATACAGAAATAGCTGTGCAGGCAGCTGCTCTGCCCAGCAAGTGCCCCAGCCCCTCTTCAGTTGTGCACTGCCTGATTTTCCTTCAGGCCTCATTAGTCTGTCATCACTCACTGTTAAAATGGAGCAACTTCAGCACAAGGGAGTAGGAATAAGAGTTCCTGAAACAGCTAAGAGTCCCTGCTAACTGAAAAAGGCTTCTGGATGCTGCAGGTTTGGGTCCCCCAAAAGCCAGAGAAATGGATAATGCTGAATGGAGGAACTGACACCCCAAGAAGGAAGATAGGTGCCCAAGCTCAGTTCAGAACTTTGAAGAAAAAAACCCATTCATTGCTTCATCTTTAAAGGGAAGCAGTGACGTGCCTGGCTCCAAGGGAGCAGGGCAGGACAGTCAGCACTGAACAGCCCTTGCTGCAGCCCATGGGAGGGTACCTAGCCCAGGATCAGGCTGGGTGGCACCATGCCCTGTCCTGTACCCTTCTTGGGTACCCCACACTCTGCTGCCCCTCAGATTTGGATGGCATTAATGGGGCAGGCTGCCTTTTGCCTTTTCTGGGCTCAGCCATTTCTCCTATCCTTATCTTTCCAAGGGTATCGGTTAATTCACCAAGGACTTTGTTTCAGTTGTGATAACAGCTTGTGAAAAACAAATTACAAACAGACCCACAGGTTGCTAGGAAGCATTGGACTAAAAAGGGAACCTAATGCTAATAATAAACAGGAGACAAATTTGCTTTTATTTGGTCAGAAACAAGCTCCATCACGGGGAGATTCTGAAGGGTGGCTAACCTAGGTCAGAGAGACATCCAGGCAACATCCATCAGCCTCAGGGTTTGTGAATTCCAGTTAGTCTCTCTGAAACTCCTCAGGATGATACAGAGGGAAGGAGCTGAAACAGCATGCCTGTGTATCTTGTGATTTCATATTTCTCCAGATGACCAATTTTCCCCTGAAACAACTAGAAGAGAGGTCAGATAGAGGTATTTTCTTCCAATGTACAGTGATCTGCAGGAAACAGACCATTTTCAGAAAACAAGTCAGAATAATCCTGCAGAGGAGTGCTGGGGCTACTTCAAAATCCATACCTGTGAATTTTGAAGTAGCATACCTTTGAGCATGAGAGGCTCAAAGTGGGGGTCCCTGGCTAAGAAGAGGGAGTTTTCTGGCAAGCTCTTTCTACTGATGGACATCTACTGCTGGTGCCTCTCTTGCCCCAAAGCACAATCCTGTTTTGTGAAAATCATAAGCTAGGAGACAAACCCAAGGAAGATATTTCAAACTGCGAGTAAAGTTGTGTATAAATCTCACAGAACAGTTTTTAGCTGTTTTGGTAGAAGGAACATGATGTTTGGCACAGGAAAATCATCTCTCAAGTCCTGCTTTTGTTTTGTTTTGTTGGTGCTGTGATGAGAAAGAGCATCCAGGCTTGACTGGATATTGCAACAGCTTGTAACACAATGAAACTCATTTGCAAAAGTCCAGAAGACTGCAATTAGTCAGAAAAGCTCTTTAAAGTTGAAATATGGAATTTAAAAAATTTACTTTTATTAGTTTTTCATTACTTCAGTTGTCTTAGAGAAAACACTGAGGTACCTTTCTGTCTATATTGTTAAGGTTGTGAGTTCTTGAAAATAAAGATACTTTTCCATTAATGAAGTGTCCCAAGTACCAGATTCTCTAAGCAGTAGAAGTAATAAAGACAGATTAAAGATGTACTCATTTAACACCTTCTGTTGCTCCTGCTGATAGAAGAACTGCAAAGCTGAACTATGTCTAAGCTTGTTTTATGCTTACTGGAGATGCCAAAATCTAAAGGCTGATGACCTCAGTTCCTGAGCACGCCATGGATGGCCTGAGGTGCTGTGGAGCACTGCTGTCCCACAAAGTTTTGTCTGCTCTCCTTTCCCTCCCCTCTATTCCCCACTCATGAGTGCACTTACCAAAGAGATGGGCTCTGTGTTACTACCTGAGAAATCCAAGACAATGCTCCCCTTCTCTCATGAGTGCACACTGCTTGCTGCTTGCCCAGATGGAAGGCTGATGTGAGCCCACTCCTCATCCTGAAACACTCACTTTTTGGCAGAATAAAGGAGGAGGACTTTGTTCTGCTCACCGACTTGAGCGGAGCAGGGGGCCATGTTCCAAACCTCGCTTTACTACATGCCTAGTAAAATATTTAAAAGATATAGAAAGGATGTAAAGAGGTTCCTGCATAAAATTGAAACCATTTAGGAAACAATAGCATGACTCTGCTGCTTGTAAAAGGGGTCTGGCAGCCTAGCAACCAGATTCTTGGTCAATGGAAGGACTGTTACATGAGCTAGGCGTTCAGACGTGCCTCTTCCTCATGCCCTGCCCTGCCAATTTACTACAGCCCTCTCTCCCCATTCCCACAGTCTTTGGCCTCTCCCATGAGCCTGCTGACAAAACTCAGCACCCACTAAACGGGGAATTTTTGCCTCAGGCCATTTGTCACCTGGGAAATGGGACTGAACTGATCAAACTCGTTTCATATAAGGCATGTAGTAAATCAGGAGAAAAATTCAATTGAATTCAAGATGGGTTGAATGGAGTCAAAGAAATCACTGTCAGCTAGGTGTAAAACCTAGCTCAAGATCATTTGCCAGTACATGTCCTAAACTCTTCTGCTGATTTTTTTTTCCTAAGTAGCCTTCCTGCAAATTCATAATTTGTATC